GCGCGGGGGTTCAGCGCTTGCTTCGCCTCTCCCAACAGCCAAGCTGGGCTCAGGGTGGGGGGCCAAGGGGCAGGAAAGGTGCCGTGGGTGTGAGTGAGATGCTCTGACCGATGAGATGCTCTCCCCCGTCGCTTCCGAAGGATGCTCCCACGCCTGGGGGGGCTGCAGCAGCCCCCAGCCCACCCCTCCATCACCCTCCCTGCGAGGCCGCCCGTGCCCCCTCCTCTCCCGGGGGCGGGGGGAATTAACAGCTGAAGAAAACTAAATGTCTAGTGGCCTGAAAAGTTTCATTTCCTGCGAGAAGGGCCCTGCCAAACGGCATGTAAAGGAGGCTGCCATCGCTGTGCGCAATTACACACCCGGCTGGCTCGTTTCATGGAAATCAATGGCCGCAAAGGGACGGTGCGGGGGCTCCACGCACCCGCCTCCCCCCACGCCACGCTGCCCTGTCCAGCCGCCCACCGGCACGGCCCCGCATCCTGCTCAGCCGTGAGCCCAGGCGCCGGCGATGCTCGGGGAGGAACTGGCTCAGAAAACTCCCCGCTCTCGCACTGTTTTCATAAATCACCCCCCCGCCCGAGCCGGTATTCTCAGGGGTGCTCGGCAGCCGGCAGCTTGTTACACGAATGATTCTGGTTGTATCGCTTGTAGCTATCAGGAGATAAGGCTGGGGAGAGGGATGGTGGGAGGGCAGGCAGGGAGTGAAGTGCAGATGTGACAGCCGGGTAGCAGAAAACAAGCAGCAGGGATGGCGGGTCCCTCCGTGCTGCTTTATCAGCACCTTCACACCCCCCCCCCCCAGCGATCCCAGCTGCCTCTCACGGTGATGGATGCACGCTCTCATCATCAGAGCCGTGCCAAAACGGGGCAGGAGCCTGCGCCGGGAGCTGCCGGCGAGAAGTGACGGAGCCTGGGAAGTGCCAGCGAGCCCACGGTGAGCACAGGGTGCTGCAGGGTGCTGGGGTCCCCTGCGCGGGATGGGACCGGGGGACACAGGGATGGCCCCCCCCCCCCCCCCAGCCCTGCTGCAGCGGGGTCTGCTCCGCTCTGCGCGGCAGCCGGGGACCCGCGGTGGCAGAGGGAGCTGGATGGCACCGTGAAAATCTCGGTGGCCACCGTGCAAGCTGGTGCGCCCAGGAGCCTGAGCTCTGCAGCGTCCCCAAGCCACGTGCACAATGCCACGGGGTCCAGAGGGAGGCGAGGGGCCAGCCCAGCCTCGGGGAATTTGTTTAAATGAAATAAATTGGAGCCAGATGCTGGAGGGGGGACATGGGAACAGCTCCCCAGAGCACGTGGCAGGGAGCAGCGCAGCATTTCGGTGGGGGGGCTGGCCAGAGGGGTGGTCAGAGCACCGGGAAGGTTGGGGAATCCAGTGGCCTTTGCAGAAAGGATCATTTTTATCAGAGGGTGCTCCCAGCCCCCTGCTCTGCCTCGGGGAGAGCTCGACTCAGCCCCTGCAAACGTTTCCCTCAGCACACGGTGTCCGGGGTGGCCGCGATGGCCCCCTCCATGGTGCAAATTGTGCAAAAACCCACTGCAAAGCACGGCGGGGGTCGGCCCTGCCTGGTCGAGCATCCCTCCCCTGGCTGTGCTTCACCTGCAGCTCCTGAATCTGGAGCAAGAACAAGAGGAGGGAAGCCAGAGAGGTGCCAGGCAAACTGGTGAGCTGCTGGCCAGATCCTGAGCCCCACCAAGGAGTAAACCTGGATGGTATCGGGGGGGCTGTGGGAGGATACACCCTCCTGAGCAAGCTGCGGATCAGGCCCCCGCGCTGCCTGCAGCCGTAGCTTCGCACCAGGTGGGATATTCCACAGGCCAGTGGAGCACGATGCGCCCGCTGCCTTCATGGGATTAAAAGAAAAAAAAAATGCTATTAACACCAAAACGCTGACCTGGAGCGAGGAGCGGCGTGCCGGCGGAGCTCTCCTCGGAGAGGTGCACGCTGTGACCGGGCAGCGGCTGCCATGGGGGGGGCAGGACCCCCCCAGCTGCCCAGGGGCTGGCCCCGGTGCCTTCGCAAGCCCTGGGGTCCTGATGAATTGGTGCAGCCATATCCTGGGGTAAACCAGCCCTTAGCACGGCATGTGGAGGTGAAGCCGTAACTTCCCGAACCCCGAAACCCTGACACCCCGACTGCCGGCGTAACGGGGCTGTGAGCCTCGGGGGCGGCCAGTGCCAGAGGAGACTCAGGCCCATAAAACCCCATTTCAGCCACCACCAGCCATACGTGACATCCCCCCCCCGCCCTGCTGCCTCCCCCCCGCCTGCGGTGCCGGCTGCGCTCGGGGGCATCGCCCCGGCAGCTGCTCTGGCTGCGGTTGCAGCCCCCCCCCAGCCCAATGGCACCCTAGGGTGGGGGGACCTGGGGACGCTCCATCCCATCCCTCAGCCCTGGTTCCCCCCACTCCAGGCGCTGCCTTGGGGTTGCCCAGCCCCCCGCTTGCCCCCCCCCCCCCCACTGCCAGCAAAATCCAGCTCGCAGCAGGGACTAAGGATATTCGGGGGGTCATGGGGGTGGGGAGAAGCTCCCATCACAGGTTGGGGACCCATCCGGGGCTGGGGGCTGCTTCCTTTCCCTTCCTTCACATAAATTTAGAGAAGAAGAAATTTAAGACGTGTTTCATTTCTCCAGGTCAGCCTGCAGGGGAAATCTTTGTTTTCCAGCAGCGCCGGACGGTTCAAAACCCGTCCCCGTTCCCCGACGGCCTGTCCGCTGAGAGGGGCTGTGTGTGTGTGTGTGTGTGTGTGTGTGTGTGTGTGTGCCCCCCGCCCCGTGTCACCACAGCCTCCAGCCGGGCAGGGAGCCGCAGGCCGGGGACGCTGCTGACGGGGTTCGGGGTGTGGTGGGAAGGGCGGTGAGAAACGGGCGATGCTCAGGAAGGGAATGACCGCGGCCCCGCCGGCTGTTTCAGCTCCAATTACCAGTGGCATTAACGACCCGGCTCCAATCAAACCCGCGAGCCGGCGTTTGCTTCACGTGGGTGCTGCAGTGGGTCCCTGGGTCCCCTCTCCCCTTTGCACAAGGGTGACAAGACCCCTCCCCAAACTACAGGGACCCCCACACGCGAGGGCAGCGGGACCCCCTGAGCCGCAGGGACCCCCTCGAGCTGCCCAGACTCCTGTGCATGAGGGCGATGGGACCCCCCAAGCTGCTGGGACCCCTTGAGTCACAAGGACCCCACATAGGAGGGCAGGGGGACCCCCCCGAGCTGCAGGGAGATGGGGGCGACAGGAACCCCCCGAACCACAGGGACCCTGCACATGAGGGTGACGGGACCCCCCAGCCACAGGGACCCTCCAGCCACAGGGACCTCGTGCACGAGGGTGACAGGACCCCCCGCCCCGCCCCGAGTCACAGGGACCCCACACATGAGGGTGATGAGACCCCCCAAACCACAGGGACCCTGTGCACAAGGGCCATGAGACCCTCTGAACCACAGGGACCCTTCACACGAGGGTGATGGGACCCCCCCTGAGCCACAGGGACCCTCCAGCCACAGGGACCTCGTGCACAAGGGTGACAGGAGCCCCCCCGAGTCACAGGGACTCTGTGCATGAGGGTAACGAGACCCCCTGAACCACGGGGACCCCGCACAAGAGGGTGACGGGACCCCACCGAGTCACGGGGACCCCACGCACGAGGGTGGTGAGACCCCTCCAAACCACAGGCACCCTGCACCCGAGCGCGATGGGACCCCTCGAACTACAGGGACCCCGAGCCCGAGGGTGATGGGACCCCTCAAACTGACCCACATGCCTCAGCCTCAGCCCCGGCCCCGTGTGCCCCATCCAGCCCCAGTTAAATATAAGAACGGCCCGAATGGTGTCGGCGGGCAAGAGCCGGTGACGCCGGAGCGGGGCCGGCCCGGTGGGACGCGGCACGAGGAGCAGCCGGGGCTGGACCCCCTCCCCATCACCACGAGTCCTTAAACCAAACCTTGCTGCCTCTGCGAGGGAGACGGGCTGCCTGATCTAAACGATCCCTTTCAGGCCTTAAAAATCCATGACTCTATTAATTAATTACTAACGATGATCCGTCTCAGCCTTGCGCCTGCCAGTTTGCTATTTTTAACTCCGTATTTCCAACCCCCAGTGTTAAAAAAATCATGAGTCAGGCCTCAAAAAACCCTACCGAGCGGGTCTAAAAAATGGCTTTTTTTTGGCAAGTCAGTGCCAGGCTCTCTTCCCGGCATTTGTCACCGCTCGAGCCCGTTGCTGGCAGCGACCGCAGCGCTCGGCGCAGCACCCCTCTCCCCAGCCGTCGGTGCTGGTATTTCTCCCCGCTCCTGGCACACACATGGCCCTTATTAAAAAGCAAAATTAGGCTTTCACCCTCTTGTGGCAAACTTCAGAGCCTCGGATCAGCGGTATGAGCCTGAATTAATTAACAGCGGATTGTTCCTATTCTGCTAATTATGCTGAAATACACATTAAACGCCGGGAATGAGCATGGGCCGCACACAAAAAGTTATTTACTCGTTAAGGAAGAAACGAGCAGCAGGGGGGGGGGGTGCTCCCCGGCCGGGTCTGCTCTTGCAAGGGGTGCGGAGGGTCAGCCAAGGCTGCTCGCGGTGCCACCCCCGAGCCCGTCCCGGCTTTGGTGGCCTCCCGGGATGTCACCTGCCGGTGGCCCGACACCCCCCCAGCACCGGGGAAACTGAGGCACAGGTGGGCAAGTGGCCGGGGCTGCGACAGTGCCCGGGGAGATGCCGGAGCATCCCAGCCCCAAGCGCCCACCCACCGGGTGGCATCGCCTCCAATAATTAAGTACTATCAACAATTGCATATTAATTAATTTAATATCCATTATTATTCATTAATGCGGTAATTAAATCCTTCCCGTAATTAACACACCACCCAGCAGAGCGGTCTGGCTTCACAGCCCCGTTGCACCGGGGGAGAGGGCTGCGCGGGGAGCGGGGACGGAGCCCCCCGCTCACCCCCAGCCCACCCCGGGGCCACGGGTCGGGAGGGAAAGTCATTCCTCAAAAGCAAGGGCCTCACATGACATGTATTTTTATTTTATTATAAAAAAATACAGAATCCGAATGGGGCGGTGATCTGGTTACCATCAGCACGACGTTGAGGACGGAAGCGGCGTGGCGAAGGACGAAGCGCGGCGGGACGGAGACCAGCACACAGAACCAGCACCGGCGAGGGGCTGCAACCCCCCACCCCGGCCACAGCGAAGCCCCCCCAGCCCTCACCCCCCCGCCAGCCTCGCCGCCGCCGGCGCTTTTCCACTCTCCCACAGTCGCTGTACACAATATAGATATTTATATATATAATCTATATATATATAAAACACAGACCGAAGGCCAGGGTTTGCCATCACCACGGCACGGTGGGTGCTGCCGGCTCCTCGCTGGAGCCCCGGGGTGCTCAGCGCCCGGCTGGGTGGGTGCCCTCCCTCATCCCCTGGATAATCACGACGCTTTCGCTCGCCTTCGAGAACCACAACCTGGTCTGGACACACGGGGACAGGGATGGGACAGCAGGGAATGTGATTTTTTTTTTTTTTTTTTTTTTGTATTTTTTGGATGGTGGAGATGAGCTTATTGCGAGATTCCAGCTTCCTAGTCTAAAAAATAAAAATAAAATAAGATAAACCCTTCCATAAAATTCATTCTCAACAATACATAAAAAAAAAAACGCTCACAGTATAGCGCTGTATGTACAGGGACGGAGCCCCCGCCGGCCCCCCCGCCGCCGCAGGGTTTGGGGAGCGCTCGGGGAAGGCGCCCGCAGTGGGGGTCAGCCAGGTCGCAGCCCATCACCATCGTCCCCCAGGACCCCCGACCCCTCGGAGCTCGGAGGGGGCTCTGCGGGATGGGCCCGGGACCCCCCCGGGTGGGACAGCCCCAGATTTAAGGCGAGGAGGGGTCAGGCCCCGGGGCTGCGGGGGGTCCCTGGGGACCTGCCACCCCTGGGGTCAGGGCCAACCTCAGATTGGGGGTTTTGGTGGGTTTTTCTTATTAATGCAAAGAAGAAAAAGGAAAAAAAAAAAAAAAAAAAAAAAAATCCCCGAGCCCCAGCCCCGGAATGCCAGGTGACAAATGGGCGACCTCGGGGAGCACCGCGATGGTCCCGCATGTGGCCACCGGCCCCCGCGGGGGCTCTCGCACCCCCAAAGTGTGTGGGGGGACGCGGGGCAGGTGGAGAGCAGAGGGTGGAGGAGGAGGAGGAGGAGGAGGAGGAGGAGGAGGGAGATGAGGAGGAAACCCTGCCCCGCGGGCAGCGCCAGCCTCAGCTCTGGCCAAACACCCTGGATTGATCCCAGCCCGGCCCCCCGGCTCCCAGCGCCCGGCGGGGCTCCCAGCGCCAGCCGGCCATTCCCAGTGCCAGCCAGCCATCCCCAGCGTTCCCAGTGCCAGCCGGCCATCCCCGGTGCTCCACGTGCCAGCTGGCCATCCCCAGTGTTCCCAGTGCCCGGCAGTGCTCCCAGTGCCGGCCGGCCGTCCTCAGTGCTGCCAGTGCCAGCCAGCCATCCCTGGTGCCCCCTGTGCCAGCCATCCCCGGTGCCCCCTGTGCCAGCCATCCCTGGTGCCCCCCGTGCCAGCCATCCCCGGTGCCCCCTGTCCCAGCCATCCCCGGTGCCCCCCGTGCCAGCCATCCCCGGTGCCCCCTGTGCCAGCCATCCCCGGTGCCCCCCGTGCCAGCCATCCCCGGTGCCCCCCGTGCCAGCCATCCCCGGTGCCCCCAGTACCCGCCAGCCATTCCCAGTGCTCCCAGCGCTGGCCGGCTGTCCCCGGTGCTCCCCTCGGGTGCCGTCCCGTTTGCTTTGCTGCTCACAGAGCCACTCCAGGGTCCCACGGGGACAGCGGTGACATCCACGGCACGAGCGCCGGGGAGGGGTCACCCCACCAGCCGCTCAGCGGGGGGTTCGTGTCCATCCGGGCCCCCCCCCCGTCCCTGTGCCCCTGTGGCAGGGGGTGGCAAGGGGGAGCGTGGCGGGGCCGGCACCGTGACGTCCTGCTGCCGGAGCGATGGCCGGGCTGGGAAGGAGTCTGTGACCACGGAGCCATCGGCACCATCGCTGGTGTCCCTCTCTCCCTGCCCGCGGCCGGGCGAGGGCAGGGGGCTGCGGTGAGGGGCTCAGCGGGAGGGGGCTGAGCCCGGCCCCGTGCGGGTCAGTCTGACACGGGGAAGCTCAGGCTGAAACAACCCAACAAATAAAAATAAAAATATTTTCTTCTTTTTAAAAAAAGAACAAAAAAAAAAAAAAAAAAAAAAAAGAAAAAACCCAACCCCCAAAAAGCCAAACGACGAGGACTCTCTATTTGGTCTAGAAATGTAAAAAGCGGCATCCGACGGGGAGGGCTGGTGCTGAGCGAGCCGCAGCGCGGGGACGGGGAGCTTTCGGCGCGCGTGCGGCCAGGATCCGTCCCGTGGGGCAACCTGTGACCGAGCCCGGCGCGGTGGCCGTGCCAAGACGGGGCCTTCACGCGGCGGCCGGCTCCGGGCGAGCTTCTCCCCGGCAGCACCGACCCTCCGTGCCGGCGACGTCCCCGGGCACCGTCCAGCCGCGGCTCGGAGGCGATGGGGGGTGGCCGGGCTCCGTCCCCCCGCTGCTCCTTCCCCGCGGAGCCGCTCCCCGGCACGTCGGCGTCGGTGCTACGAGGCCAGGAGCGTCCAGACGACCGGCACCACCACGAGCGCGGCGTGCGGGACCCTGAGGCTGCAGCAGGAGTTGTTGCTGGTGAAAATGGGCTCCGGGGACTCGTAGAGGGAATCGTCTGCGGAAGGGGAGGAAGAGAGGGGAGGCGTGAGCCGCGCTCCGGGGCCCGTCCTGCCCCGGCAGAAGCGGGGTGATGCTCAGCACCCCGGGGGTCGGGTGCCACCCTGCGGGGGGGATCAGCCACCGTGGCCAGGGCTGGACCAGCCCGTGTGGGGCCAGGGCACCCGCTCGCCAACAGCCCGGGCGTCCCGTAGCCAAACCCCGCGCGGCGGTAGCCCACGTTCAACGGTGGCTGAAGCTGCTACCAGGGCTCGGCTTGCTCGGGGTTGTTATCGGATTTTTACGGACCCGGAGCCAGGAAAAGCAGAGCCTGGTCGTGTCCGGGGATGCTCCATCCCCCCACGTATCCAGTCCCCCCGTCCCCCCCCGTCCTGGAGGGTCCCTGTGTGGGGTCACCCGGGACCGGGGTCCCCCCGTGCCTGGCGCTTGCAACTGAGAAGGTCTCAAGGACTCGTCCTGGGGCCAGACCCAACCGAGGGGTGCCCAGCCCGCGGCGGCCCCCGGGGCAAGGCCCCTCTCCCCCGGCAGCACAAAGGCAGCCCTTCCTCACCGTGAGGCAATGGCCTAATAAAATCCCAATATTATTAAAACACTAAAAAATAGTATCAGGAGAGATTTTTTCCCCCCTATTATGCCCTAGTCCTGAACAAAACAGAATGATTTTTTACAGACGGTTTCATTATATTGGGTTTTATTTTAAAGCCATGCAAATAAAAAAAAAAGAAAGACATCCTTTTAAATGGTGACATTTCGCAGGCACTCTTCCCCAGGGAGAGCTGCTGCCATTTGCTAATTACACGTTAACAGGAGAAGAAAATTATTAATTTGTTTTTTTAAATGGCTGAGTTATTTGATTCTGAAAAGTAGCCACTGTGCAGGGATTATTTTTTTTTTTTTTTCCCCCCTGTCCAAAACTCAGCAGCAAATGTCCACCAGGCAGGGACGGCTCCGGCAGGGCTGCGGGTGCCGTCCCCATCGGGGTGCGACCCAGGTGGGACCGGGGCCACCCCGTCCCCCCCTTCACAGTCCCCACTTGCCCGTGGCCCCCGGGCCCCCCCCCAGCCCACTCACTTGTTGGCCGAACGTAAACCTTCAGCTTCAGGCAGGGCCTGTCCACCATGTTCGGGGGGGACGCGGCTGCGGAGAAGCAAAGGGAGGAGAAGAGGGGGGGGGTTGAGAAGAGGGGGGGTTTGGGGGGATTTGGGGGGGGGCAGCAGCTCAGCCCCACCATGGGGACAGGGCAAGAACCCGCCTCAGGGACCCCGCCAAGGGACAGACCCCCCCGGAGCCAGGGGGGGACAGCGACTGAGCTGCCCCACGGCACCCCCAGCACAGCAGAGCCCTCACCCAAACTTCTTGGGGGGGGGGGGGGCTGGGGCTGCCCCTGCCCCGTCCCAGGTGAGCCCAGTAAAGGGCCTTTGATGGTCCCAGCACAGCTGGAGCTTCCCTCTGGGGACAGGGGCCGGTGGCCCATGTGGCTTTTGGCCCCAACGCCGGGGAGGGAGGGGGGGGGGGCTGCGAGAGCACGGGCAGCGCTGCACCACCCTCCCCGAGCCGGCACGGCGAGAATAACGGCACGGAATAAAAATAATACTCATTGGGAGAGAGAAAGGGAGTAATTGCAATAATTATCCTGGTGAAAGTCCCCTCTCAATATGAGAAAATGTGATTTTTATATATACGTTTTTAAAGGAATTTCATTTTCTTTTCTCCTTTTTTTTTTTTTTTTTTTTTTTGAATTAAAGAAAGGGAAAGAGCATTATTTGCAATAAAGTTTAATTTCAGCTGGAAGAAGGGGGAATTGGGATGCCACCGGCAGGAGAGGCGGCGCCGGGGGGACAGCCCTGCCCGGGCACACGGGTCCCCACTGGTGGCACTGGGCCACCCCCGTCCCCCCCCGCCAGCGCCGAGGGAGGGACACGGCGGGGCCCCCGCTGCGGGAGCTGCCGGGGGGGCCACCCCCACCCCCCCACCCCCCCGGCTCCACAGGACCCCTTTGATTTATTTTTACCAACTAAAAGCGCTGGGCGGGCGCAGACGGGCTGACAGCTCTGGGGGGGTCCCCGGCCCCCCCTGCTCCCCACCTGGCCCCTCTCTGCACCCACCTCCTGCACCTCAGCACCCCCCTGGCCCCCCCGGCCCCGGCCCTCACACCGGGGGCAGCGTCGGCCGCAGCCGTTCCGGGGAGACGCCAGGGATGCTGCAAACCCCCCATGATTATTTTATTTTTTGTTTTTCTTTTTTTTTTTTATTTGTTTGTGTTTTTTGGTGGTTGTTTGTTTGGGTTTTTTTTTGTTTGTTTGGGCTTTGTTTGGTTCATTTTGGTTTTTTGTTTGTTTGTTGTTTTTTTTCTTATTTGTTTGGTTTCGTGTTTTTTTTTTTTGTTGGTTGTTTTGGTTTTTTTTTGTTTGTTTTGGGTTTTTTTGTTTGTTTGTTTGTTTGTTTGTTTTGTTGGTTGTTTTGGTTTTTTTTGTTTGTTTTGGGGTTTTTTGTTTGTTTGTTTGTTGTTGTTTTTTTTTTTTTACCCTTCCCTTTTCCTTTCCTCCCTGACACTACAGTCCACACAGGGAATGAGAAGGTCACGCGAGCTGCGGTGCTGTGCCGTGCTGTGCCGTGCTGTGCCATGCCATGCCATGCCATGCCGTGCCGTGCCATGCCGTGCTGTGCCGTGCCGTGCCGTGCCGTGCCACCAGCACCCCGCAGCAGCTCGGTCCGGCGGCTCCATCCCCGGGGCCAGCCCGTGCCCTTGACCCGGCACCGGGAGCGCGAGTGGCCCGTGCCCGCGAGGTTAATGGCATTCCAATTTGCAAGCTCGAGGAGGAGGTAATTTCTTTTCTTTCATGTCTGCTAAATACGGTTCCTCAAAGAGGCATAATTTCTAATGTTCCGCATGACATGAATTCTAACCGGTTTAGCAATGATCAGCTTCACCATTTACTTCTGTGTAATCTCTCCCTAACGACATTAAAAATAAAAAAAATAAAATAAAACGGGGCGGGGAGGGGGGGGGGGAAAGAGAGAGTTGTAGATGCAGTTATTTCACGAGTGACATTTTACAGGGGGAGAGGAAGAAGGGGGAAAAAATGGTAATTTAATATAGATAAAAGGAACAAATTAAGTGGGCTGAAAACAGATGCTTTAGGAAAAAGGGGGAGAAATAATAAGGAAGATAAGCGCGCCGGCTGGCTCCTGCCGGGCAGAGGCGTCTCTGCCTCCTGCGACACCGCCGTGTGCTTGGGGCTCACGGTTTCTCTTTTTTTTTTTTTTTACTTTTATTTTTTTTTCTACCCTTTACTGATCGCCAGACCCCCAGTGCCCGATCTGAGCCCCATTAGTCTGGTTTTCCCCGGTTCCCATCCGGCCCCTCATCCCCCTCCTGCCCCTGCCCTGACACCCCCCCCACCCCCCCCCAGCTGGGGGGAGATTCACCCAGGGGCCCGATCCTGTGCTCAGTGCCTGGGCACCTGAAGGGAAGTTTTCCCTCTGGAGTGGGTTGGCCAGTTTGGGAATGCGGCCCCGGGAGAGTGGGGGGTACACGTGAGAGTGGGGGGTACACGTGAGAGTGGGGGGGTACACGGGAGAGTGGGGGGGTACACGGGAGAGTTGGGGGGTACCCAGGATAGTGGGGGGAGTACCCAGGAGAGTGGGGGGTATGTGAGAGAGTGGGGGGTACATGGGAGAGTGGGGGGTACATGAGAGAGTGGGGGGGTACATGGGAGAGTTGGGGGGTACACAGGAGAGTGGGGGGGTACCCAGGAGAGTGGGGGGTACGTGAGAGAGTGGGGGGGTACACGGGAGAGTTGGGGGGTACACAGGAGAGTGGGGGGGTACCCAGGAGAGTGGGGGGTACGTGAGAGAGTGGGGGGGTACATGGGAGAGTCGGGGGGTACACAGGAGAGTGGGGGGTACATGAGAGAGTGGGGGGTACATGAGAGAGTGGGGGGTACACGGGAGAGTGGGGGGTACACGGGAGAGCATGGAGCATGGGTGTACATGGGGGAGTGGGGGGGCCACTGCGTGGGGCAGGCAGCGCTGCGCCACCGCTCCAGTGCAGCAGCTTTACTGGTGCCCAGCGAGGCCCCGGCGGGGCCGAGAGCACGTCCCCATCGCTCCCAGTCCGTGGAGAGTCCTGGTCACTTCCCGTGGCCACCCCACACCCGTGGCCGTGGCCCAGCCCCGGCGATGGCTTTCGGCACCGTCGGACGGGCACGGCTGCGTTCGGGGGGGCTTCGCGGTGGTTTTGGGTCACCAGTACAAACCCAGCCCAGCGTCCGGGTCCGCTCTGCACCGCGGGGTCTGCTCGCCAGCCCCCCCTGCACACCCCCCCCCGTCCCCGCGGCAGCCCCTACTCACAGATGTAGTAGTACTCGTGGCCGGGTCTGAACTCGAAGCCCAGCGAAAAGGGGGTGAAGAGCTGAAACTTCTCCGAAAACTTGAGGGGCCCGTTGGGGGAGTCGGGGCGGTTGCACTCCCAGCGCTTGAAGCCCCGCTGCCGGTGGTCGCAGGACGCGTGCCCCTCGTAGTTGACCATGTAGAGGACGTAGCGTTCCATGCGCTCGGGCAGCGGCTCCTCGTAGTGCGGGCAGTAGATGTCCAGGTAGTCGTTGATGCTCACCTCCACCGTGTAGTCCCCCCGGTGAAACCTGCGGGAGAAGCCGACCGCGTGTCACCGCAGCCCGCCGCGGGGACGCCAGCGGCCCCCGCCACGCCAAAACCCCCCCCCCGGGGTTTGACCACGACCCAGGGCCGCGTCCAGCCCACCCCGACACCCCCATTAACCGACAAGATTAACACACAGCCTCCTTGTTGTACTCCCGATAAACCAGCACCGCTTGATAGTAAGTCACAAAAAAAAAAAAAAAAAAAAAAAAAGGAAATAAAAAAAAAAAAAAAAGAAAAAAAAAAAATCACTCTTCGCAGCGATACCATGGAAGCGTTGGCACCGCGGCAGCCGTGCGCTGCAATCCCAGTGTAATTTGCGTTTCTGGCACTGATTATCTGAGAGATTAAGGGATTAGCGGCACTGGAGAACTCTGCAGTGCATGCCAGCAGCTCCCCCCCAAACCTCCAGCAGCCGCCCCCCCCCCTCCGGCTCCTCGGGGCGACCCCTGCGACCCCCCACCCCCAAACGGCACCGCGGGGGGGATGTTGCAGCCCCCCCCCCCCCCCCCCCGGCACCGCTGGCACCGCAGCCGATGAAGCTCGCCGGCCAAATTCACCGGCTCCCCCAGGAGCCAACCTGGCAGCTTGGCTGTTTGCCTGCCCCCCCCCCCCCCCCCCCCCAGCATTTCAAGCACGTTTTCTTTGCTAATTAATTTAAGGCAGCTGCGGCGCGGCCCTCCTGCCTCGGCATGAGCAGGGACACGGGACCCCCCCCGCCCCCAGCTCCAGGGCTGGTGCTCCCCTATCCCGAGGAGCAGCTCCACACACATCCCTGCGGCTCGGCCCCGTGGGGGGGGCAGCGGCCGGAGGGGTCAGTGCAGGCCTGGGTGGGATGGGGACAACAGGCCACGGTCCCCCCAGCCACCCCAAAGCAGCATCTTGGGGCTCCCCGACACCCCCTGCGCCTGCCTGAGTCTCCAGCAGCTCTGAGCAGGGCTGAGACTGGCTCAAACTCATCACACGGGAAGCCCCAAGCACGCGTCCCTGCGTCCCGAGCGCCGACGGGGCAAGGGGGGGGATGGCAGCAAACGGCCGGCGGTGGCAGAGGGTGACCTGAAAGGCACCCAGCACCCCAAAAAGGGAAGGGGGGACCAAATACAGGAGGCGGGGGGGGGGGGTGGTCCTGGTCCTCCAGCCTTGCCGGAGCAGGCGAGCGGCGGCGTCCAGCCCCCATCCAGCTCATTACCTGCTTCATAAGCACTCTGATCACACAGGGAAATACACTAATTAAGGAGAAGGGTTTTTCTCTCTCTCCTTCTCTCTCCTTTCCCGAGTCAGTTGTGCCAACCCTGCCCCTGGCAAGGTAACATTTTAAAATGTAAAATTAATACAAAGGGCCAGGATTTACTGGGAAACAATTTTTCAAAAGCATACAAAACAATAAAAAAAAATTAAAAAACCCCCTCTTCTCTCCGTCTTTTATTTTAAAGAATTATTTATTTTAATGATCGTTATTAAAGCCCAAGCAAAGGTGATTCTAACAGGAGGGCCCATGCTTACCAGGGGAATAATAATAATAATTATATTTTTTGAAAAAAAAAAAAAAAAAAAAAATCAACTAACTCCAAGGGCCTTTTCCAGACTGACAAATTGCTGAATTAAAGCTGATTAGCTCTGATAAATGGCACAGGCGGAGATGGGCGCTGGTGGGGGATGCAAGGAGGGGTCACCCTGCGCTGGGAGGGGTGGCGGGTGCTGGGGAGATGTGGGGACCCCTGGCATGGTGCCCCCCAGCCTGCGGTGGGCCCCAGGCTCCCCCCATGCCCACTGAGCACAGGGGACCCCCCCTGTGCCCACCCGCCCCCGCCCACTGCCCCCCTTGGCGTCCCCCACCCCCTCTCCCAGCCCAGTGCTATCGGGGTCACCAGCCACAAAGTCGGGTTCAAAGCTAAGAGCGGGTTTGGGGGGGACGCGTGGGGGGTCGGGGGGTGCTCAGTCTTGGAGGTGCTCGCAGCCCCCCTGGCCGGCCCCCCCCCAGCAGGGCTGGGAAAGGGACTGTGTCACATCCCCGTCCCCATCCCTGTCCCCATCCCCGTCCCCATCCCCATCCCTTGTCCCCATCCCCGTCCCCATCCCCGTCCCCATCCCCGTCCCCATCCCTGTCCCCATCCCCATCCCCGTCCCCATCCCCGTCCCTGTCCCCATCCCTGTCCCCTTCCCTGTCCCTGTCCCCATCCCCGCAGACCCCTCGGGGCTGGCATGTCACAGTAGCCGGCCCCAGGGGACACCACACCAGAGTCCAGGACAGGGCTGGGCCAGGCGCCCCCGCTGTCACCCCACAGCCACAGCCCCCACGGCACAGACAGACCCCAGTGGGACAGGACGGGCAGGGGACGTCCCCGTCTGCCATCGCGGGACCCCCACGGGCTGCACGGACCCCACGACAGGCGAGCGGGCAGGGGCCGGGGTGCTGCTACCCCCGGGGCCGCGCGTCCCCAGGCGCTGGGTGACTTTGTCTCCGCTCCGTCCTGGCTTTTCCTTGCCGGCAAATATTTATTTATGTCTCTGTTTCCCCCTGCTGATTCACCCCCTCCTATAAATATTACATCTCCGCCTGATCAAATATTCCCTCCTGGCAGCTCTGCCGCACGCTGCGACTCGCACGACCCGGGGGTCCCAAGCAGCTGCTCGGCAGGAGCGCGGCCGTGCCCCAGCACACCGGGGAACCGCTACCGGGCAGCAGGCAAAGCCCAGCACGGCGGCACAGGGCAGCCGGCACCGGGCACGGGCCGGTCTGGAGGTGCCGCAGGGACGCCCTCGGCGGGGGGATGCAGGGACAGGGGGATGTGGGGACTTGGGGGTGGGGGTTTGTGCCGCTGCGCCGAGCACGGGGCACCCCATGGTGCATGGAGCTGCTCTAGGCTTGTTCCATCCCGTCCCGGAGCCGCCACTGAGCTGGAGCTGCCGCCACTTCATCCCGGCTGGCTTCGGCTTTACACCCCTCCGGCACCACTGGGCCAACAGCCACCCCAACAGCCCGGATCTGGGGGTCACCGGGATGTGCCCGCGTAACGGGGTGCTCCGGCGCTCACGCTGAGCCCCCGTCCCCCCGGCAGTAACCACTTGCAGCCCGCTCCGGCGAAGCAGCCGGCTCTACCGGCACCCCGACGCCGGAGCAGGGGGGAGGGAGGACGGATCCAGGACTCAGCAACCCCAAAACCACCCCCCAAGCAGCGGCGCCCGTGCAGAGACCCCCAGCACCCACCAGAGGTGCGGGGCACAGCTCGGCACGGAACAGAGAGGCCCCGGTGCTCGGCCACGCTCCGGTAACCGAATTTGCTCACAGAGGCGCGTGGCGGAGGCTCACGCCGAGCCGGCCCCGCGCACGCACGCACGGAGCCGTCTGTTAATTTGTTATCATTTAAGTCGTTCAGTTTGGAAAATGTCAACAGCGTTTTAAAAACCCGCCACCTGGAAAGCGCGCTGTCGCCCCGTGTAATACCCGCAGCAGGGCTGCCAGGCCGCGCTAATTAAAATGAGTGGGATTTGAACTGTCTAAAACGAGGCACATCGCTAATTCGTCTGGCTTCAGAATAGGAAAAATAAAACGGACCTTTCAGCGGGGCAGGGAAGGGCGAGCGGCCAGGGCTGAGCTGGGTGCCGGTGGCTGCTCTCCGGTTCCCCGGGCTCGGCGTGTTCCCGGTGCGATCCCGGAGCCGCGGCTTTGCAAACGGCAACCGGGGCCCTGGGCCCAGCACGTCCTGCTCGGGCTGGCCCACGCTCCGGTCCCCGCAGCCCCATCTCGGACACGAGTGTGGTTTCTGCTCCCTGTGGGTGGGGTGAGCAGGATGAAGACCCTTGTCCCCAGCCCCACTGAGCCCTTGCGTCCCTGAGACTTGGGGACACTGGTGCGGGACAAACCTCCAGCTCTTGGGGCGACTGGGAATTGCAGTGAGCGAGTGGAGAGACCCCCTCCCTGCCCCCCGCTGGCAATAAATGCCAAATCACAACATTTTCAAACCAAATGACAAGCTCAGCTCTGAGCTGAGCCAGGTTTCTGGCAATGCGCTGCCCCAGCCTCTCCTGGCAGCAGGGACCCCCCAACCCCCTGGGGCCACAGAGCCAGGACCCCCCCACCCCTCACGGCCCCGGGGCTGCAGGAGGCAGCCAGGACATTAGGGGCAATTCCCGTCTGTGTCCCCCCCCCAGCACCTCTCGCTGAACCACTCAGGAAAATAAAACCCACCTCGCTGCGCCTCCGTGAGCTGCACGTGTCCGGCCCAGTGCAGCCCCCCGCCATGGGATGCGTTAGCTGGGAGATGCTGGGGGGTCCCCCCGCCCCCCATAACCCCCCCACCCACCCCACTCCCCAATGCGGGAGCTCAGCAGGGACGGGGTGGGTTTGGCCGTGGGGGGTGGGAGCCCACCCCACGCGAGGGGCTGGCAGCAGCTTGGGCCACCTTGTCTGCACGCCCTGCGATGCACGCAAAAATCGGGTGCTGGGGTGCCCGGGGGTCATGCCAGTAATGGGGTGCAGGGCAGCACCACCCCCCCCCCCAGGACAGCCACCGGGTTGACGGCGTGGCCGGGGTGATGCACACCACGGGACAGGGATGATGCCATCACCAGGGCCGATGACATGGGAAGAGAATGATGTCATCGCTGGGGCTGATGCCATGGGACATGGTTGATGCCATCACCGGGGATGATGCCACCACCAGAGATGATGCCATTGCTGGGGCTGATGCCACAGGCCACCATGGCCACCAGAGCCCCGCCGGTGGGCACAGAGCTCGCCCACTGCCAAAGGGGTTAACGCGGGAGCTTGTTTTTCCCTGACAGAGACGGATGGAGCCGCCTCCCCGCCTCACCCCGGCGGGATGTTACACTTGACAATTGACTACTCGCAGCTTTCAGCTCTGTCAGCTACCATTAAGGTTGGGATCCCGGCTAATTGGGTGCTTCATTAGGGGCATTCGTTACCGTTAGTGCTGCCTGACAGCCGGGCTGGCTCTGCAGGCAGGGCTGGGGACAGGGCAGG